CTTCGCTCTCGACGAGTGCCAAATACACACTTTACGGCTCACTAGCTCGAAAGTAACAGAATCATAAATTACGTGGAACTCAAAGTAACTACTGCTCTCACTTCATTCATCCTTGCTGGCTTTCTCTGCCAGGCTTATATGCTAACGAAGAGGGCATCTCCAACACACTCGGACTTCCCCGATCATTTGAGAAACTCATCACGCATGCTACCAGTGCCAACGCGCCAGCAGCATCATGTGACTTCCACTGTTGTAACAATATATATATAGTCTTGTTTATTTTTGTATGTATTCAAACTGCCAATAATCTATTATTTTAATCATTTCTAGTTATAATTAAAGAAAAAATCCTTGTTTTGATATGCTCCATTTCAGTTACAAGCATTTGGCCATTTTTTTGTTGTAGATCATTTATGTACAGTTGAAATTAAATGTTGGCAAGTAACACAGCTAAGACAACACTTGGATGGGCATCTGATGGATTATTCAAAACTTAAATTAGTTGTACACTTATCTTTGAAGATGCTAGTAATTAAATAACTTTGCACACTAAATTTTTTTAACTTGAAGTGATCAATTTGTAGAAATAAAATGTTGAACTTAGAAACAAATTTATTACAGTTAGGTAATTTTAAATGTAAGTGGTCTTAAGTCTTGATTATTTATTTTTCTAGCTTCAGGACTGGATTTTCATTTTACTTATTTTGGTTTGTTTGTTCAGTTAAAGCTATGAACTACCCTCCAGGTACAGAGTACTCTGGTGATGGTGTGCTCTATGATAGTTTTGGTGAGACTAGTTCAGAATTTGGTGGAAATCTTGAAAGTCCTAATGAGGTTGCAGTGTCAAGCCTACCTGGTGATTTGGACAGACAGAAGCGTAGGGAAAGGTTAGTAAAAATGGTTATACAAAACTTACAGGTAACACTGGTGCATTGTTTGTAACAGTTTTGAGGACAAGATGCAGTTATTTTGCTGTTAATCTTTGAATTTTAACAGTGTTGATTCTTGATGTTAAATGTCATTTTGCTTTACGCTTTTCTTTTTTATTATTATTTTGCTGTTGTTGTAAATAAACATACATATTAGTTACCACATTTAATTACCAGAGTTCGTCCAAATAGGTTTACCTTTTTATATTCATATAAAAATGTTTTCCAATTTCTAGAAAAAGCATTTAGTATTATTATACTGTAATGTTATTCAATTTTTATAGAAATCGAAGGCAGAACCGTAACAGAAATCGAGAACGATTTGATAGAGACCGGGTAGATAGGCCACTTATTTGTAATGAGGTAAGAACATATTTCGAAACTTGTGTAATTTTTTGTAATTTACCTTCTTAAATACTGATTTATTGCATAACATTCTTTATGCAATACATTATTATATTTACAAAATTATTTTAAAAATACAACATTCATGCTGGTCCTTAATGAGAAGCAGAATAATTATATTTAATAAAGAATAGTGCTTTTTATAACAAAAAATTTGACACGCATCATGTGAAAGGTATAAAAATGCCTTCAAAGAACAATACAGAAAAATTTTAATTAAAGTGGCAGCAAATAACACTTGTGAACAAAGCAATGCTGCAAATTTGAAATTAAAACGTTCTTTGTATATTTAACACAAATATATAGACGGGTCTTTATCTTTAAAAACTGAATTTTAATTTACCACAAAATTCTGTTTAATATTTCTCAGTATAAAGTTTCTATGTACAGTGATTATATTTTTCTGAATGAGAATTAGTCCTGATTATATGTTTCTCCCCACAAGTCTGCTGTCCAGGGTTTCTTGGAGGGAAATTACAGAGATGAGGAATATGGTGATTACAGTTGTGAAATTGAACAGGGTTATCCAGACAGAAGAGATAGTAGCTACAATAACTTTGGAGACAGAGGAAACTGTGATGATAGAAGAGGGAGGAACAGAGGGCGTCGTGATCGAGAGCGAAATAGAGATAGAGATAGAAACCGTGGTAGGGACAGAGATCGTGAAAGAGATAGAGATAGATCCAGGGATAGAGAGAGAGATAGGGACTGGCGGGAAGAAATTCCAAATAATACAATTATGGTCAGGGGGCTAGCTCCTCATATCTCGGAGGCCGATGTGAGTATTGGTGTAATTCAAAGTAAAACTAAATTTTATTGCTAAAAATATGTTCAGTTTCTCTTATTTAATAAAGAAATGTAAATGATCTTACTACCAGGGTGATTAATGGCTATTGTTTTTCAAACAGTATATCCGGAATGCTACCATTAAAAAGGTTTTATTGTGTTTTGTTTAGCTATTTTCTCATACTGAGTTGGCTGATATGACCAACCTTGTAACCACAAAGTAACTATCAGTTTCTATACTATAACTTTTAATATGTTTTGTGTAGCTTTACAAAATTTGGCAAACTTTCAGTAAACATTACAAGTCTTTTTGTACACCAAAAATCAGATATTTAATTAAGTAGTTTTGCTAAATATTTATTTATTCATGAATTTGTATATATGGAGTCAAAGTATTGACTGCTCCAAACACAAAGTGATTGTCATGTTAAGTTTAGAAATACTTTTCTTCATCTGAAAATTTTCAAATTTCATTTGCATAACCTCTAACTCTTCCTAAATAAATATCAAACGTTTTGTTTAAGGTAAAATGATATTTCACTTGTTATTTTCTCTACCCTAAAGCTGTACAAACGTGATCAATTTGACTGACATTTTAACCATCATAAAAATACATAAATCTTAGTTACCCTTTTTTCTTATGGAAATGATTGCAGATTGTAACAGAAAACTACAATGTTTTAGTTAAATAGCTGAAGACTTATAACAACCTACATTTATTTCTACTTAACTTTATTTTATTATTGACCTTTGAACCATGTCTAACTAATAATACTGCCACAAGAGTTATAAATCACTTGGTGAACATGTAGCTCCTGTTACTCTATTGAATGATATGATGCATGAGATGCTCGTAAGCATACCTCATAAAGAATTTTTATCATTACTATTTTCCAATATAGTACCTAATTTAACCTTATCTAACCTAGTAAGTTTCTAATATTTACATCTAGTTACTTTTATCACAATAAATATAAATTGTACATGAAAAACAAGAAATATGGTACTTACCTGTGACTTCTCATTTTTTTTTTTTTCATGTTGTTGGTGGTGGTGAATTTTTACCTACTTTTCTGTGATGGCGGCACTAGTACACTAAATGATTTCAATTTACATAAATAATGCTCCCCAGAACATAGAATCATCACATGCACAAAGCAAATAATGCCCTATAACTATTATAATTTAACTAACTTTCTAACTAATACAAGAAGGGTTTAAAATAATTCCCTTAGCTGCTTGATATGAACACCAGGAGATAAACTTTCAAACTGAAGATGAAATTGACAATACTCTGTACTGTAAACAAAGTAGTGTTATACATCATTCAATAGACTAAAAATTTGACTTTCTATTGGTTATAAATGATATAAAACATCAGAAAGATTTATTGGTAATTTGTGAAAGAGAGAGAGTGTGACAGGTGGGTGTGGCAAATGGGTCTGATTTTCTAGTTTATTACTCTTAAGCAAATAAGATTGAAGGCCATAAAAAAAAATTAGACTTTGCCTTAGTAATAACTGTATTATAATGAATGTTTTATGTTAAATTCTTACATCAGAGAAGAGTGGTAAATAAATTAGAGAAGGGGAAAGATCTAGGGAAAAAATGTCATGACTTTCATAGTAGGAGAGATTGAGGATTTATTTAAGTATTTCCTTATAAAATTAGGAACTTAAAACTTAGTTAACAAGTAAAATTTTATGTAAGTTTTGATGCGAAGTTTATTGTTGTACATTGATAATAGAGTAATTTGATTAAATTTTGAATGTAACTGTTAAACATTGTGATCTACCCGAGGCAAGAGTACAACAATACTGGAGTTACTTTATATCGCACTGTTGTTACTAAGTTTTTTATAAATTCTTCTTATTGTAAGTAATATTGTTTATGCTTTTGAAGAGGTTCAGTTTATTCAAATATTAAAATTTTCATTAACTTTGATGTGATTGAAAGCTTGTGTAATAATTAATTTTTCTAAGCTTCAAGGCATAAAGTTTAAATTATGTTACTATTTTGATTATAGGAGTGAATAGTATTTTTTCTAAAATGAAAAATGGGTTAGATAGTATTATAGTATTAGATTTTAATTGTTGAATTTCTTGGTAGCTGAGGAATGAAGTGACAAGATATGGACTTGAACCTAAAGACATCAGGCTCATGAGGAAGAAATATAAAGATACAGGTGAGAATAATTCCATTAGTCTGCTTCCATGCAGAAATGAACTCAGTTGTCTCAGTTCCACTTCTTGCTGTTGTCGGTGTCATGGCTTTTCCTCAGAGCTTGTGTAGACTTTCATGTTAGCCTTTGAAATTTTGTAAAAATTACTCTCTAGGTCTTCATATGTATTTAAATTCTTCTGATAAACTACACCATAATTTAGATTAATTCCATTTGGAAATGTAAAAAGAATGATACAAAGAAAAGGCTGAAAAACGAAAAAAAATGAATAAGGTCTTGCATGTCAGAGTGATCATATTTTGAAGTTACAAATTACATTTTTAAAATTCTGTACTTTCCAATGGCAAATGATTCTTGGATGATTTGTTTATCATGTTAAAATTTGATATTTCAATATAAATCTTAAATTTTTTTTGTTTAATTTAACATCTATAGAATGTGTTGGATCTGTATTATGTAAATATCTTTTACTTTTGTCTCCAAAAACAAGAAAGCCATGACAGACATCAAATTCTTGGAGTTAAATTTATGTCCATCAGCTCTGATTGATTCACACTAATAATTTCTATACTACTCTGTACATACTCGTGCAGGTGCATCCCGAGGCTTTGCTTTTGTGGAGTTTCTCTTACTCTCCGAAGCTGTTCGCTGGAAGGAACTTACACAGGTGTTGTTACTGCCCATTTACATTTTTTTCCATACTCACCAACTACAGTCTGGTGCCCTCACCACTGGGCTGTTTTCGGTGACATTTGATTGGATGGATTAAGACACTGGTTTCCTCTAATAAAGTATGGTGCCAGTGAATGTTTTATTTTCTTTACTCGAGTTCATAGTTTAAAATCTATAAAACAAGTGGTCAAGGGGGACAAGCAACATGTGTATTGTTTTTAACAATTTGACCACTTTTTCATGTATTACTCCTGTAATATTTAATGGACTTAAAGTATTTTTTTAGGAAAGATAGTAATATATTTAGGTGAAACTAAAGTTATCAAATAAAAGTTTAATTACAATGTGTTAAAGGCCAACAAAACATTAAATTTAACTTATTCTTTGACATCATATCCTTTTTTTTTATGGCTATCAGAGACTTTTATTTGCTGAGACATAAATAATATGCACACAGATATTTATCATTTTGACTCAAAATATTCTTGTTAATTACTCACTAAATTTAAATTTGTTAAATATTCAAACACAAGTTTGAATCAAGATGAAAAGAAAATTTAATCTTGATGGGTGAGACCACGGATGTGTAATGCTGACAACTGGCTGTGGAACTTTACAAATGGTTAAATGAAAATTTATATTTAAACTTTCTCATTAAACAATTCTCAATAATGTTTTGAAAATGTATTTGAATCTCAGACTTGAAAAAAATAATCATGTATTTTGCATTCACCCAAGATTTAGGAACTGGTTTGTTGGAAATAGCCGAGTCATGTTTAAAGTAAAAGTGGTCAAAGTGTTAATACATCATAGATTGATTATAAGCTGTTATGATGAATACTATGTGTACATTTACTCAAAGTTGAGGGAAAGTTTCTCAAGTAACGTAGAGATGTGTTTGTGGCAACAACAACAACACAAAAATAAATTGTTATCTGGATGGATTTTCTTTATTAATATCTGATAATCGGTTATATCTTACTTTGAGAGAAAAGTGCAAACTAACTTTATGTTGTGAGTTAAATAGTGAAATACAGTGCTTAAGTATACTGTAGTTTACAAGTTTTTAATATAAAGTTTAAAAATAGAATCAGAAGATGTGAATATAAAACAACCAAGAGTTCATACAAGTCTTATGAATTTATGAAAGAAAATTTTGGTACGTAGTTAGGAGGGGTAAATAAATAAACCAATCATAGTAGAAATTAAGTTTCAGTTTAAGGTTTTAGTGTTGATACATGTAGGTTTTTCAACATCGAATGAAAGAAAGCATTTATATTGCACATAGACAGCTGTTACATAAATGCAAGTATAATAATATAGTTCTTGGATATACAGTTTCCTTCTGTGAGCAAGGAATGTTAATGAAGAACTAAATATGTTGTTTCAAAAACCTGTTATGCAAGATGTAATTATAGGAAACTAAAAGCATTACTTATTTTCACTGTAACAACAGTAAAGCAACTTGAGAAATTTTCCCTCAACTTTTTTTTTGACGGAGTTTTATGTTAAATTTATGTCTTAAGTTTGTTATTGAAATCTTGTATGTTTCTATAAATTTTATGAAAGTGCATAATGTGTTAAACTTCCTCCAAGGACAATAAATTTGAAGCACAACGAGTGTGATTATATTTCATATATTTACTCCAGCCAAATGGAAACCTTTGTTGGTATTCTGTTTGATTTACACCTTTCAGCACCATCAGATGCATTTTTCTGTTAAATTTAAATCATTGGCTAGATTTTACATAATTGGGATAACTCTAAAGCATTTCTAAGACTAATTTTTGTTACTGTTAAGCTGATTGGTGTTGAATGTGGTGCAGTTTTATTTAGGCAGTATATTTCTTTGGTGCACAGGTTTTTATTATATTCTGAACATTTTGAAAAATAAAAGAATGTTCTATAGCTATTTTTATAACAGCGTATTGTTATACAAAAGTTAAAATTGTCGTTTCTTTAAATAAGTTACCATTAAAGATTATTGTTACTTGAATTTGCCTGGTTATATCCAACGGAAAGAAAAATTGTTCATTTTGCATAATATGGAAGTTTGTGCTTCTTGATTTCTAGAACTGTTAGAACTGCAGATCTCGCATATCTGCCTTTAGAAGTTTCGTCTAGTATACTTCTAACAAGCTTTCATGTATTAAGTGTGAATTGGCCCTGCCTTCATTGGATCTTTGTTATTTCCAATGTTCGGTGTCTTCTGTCCCTGGAGGTTTTCCAGTTAGATTCACCCATAATAGCGAGGGACTTGACATTTTTTCATTACAGCTGACTTACGATCAGAAATTTTCTTTCAGGGAGTTTTAATCTTTGGTGGAGACTATCGTGCTACACTACATTACAGTATTCCAAAGGATGGTAGTGGAATGAAACGAAACGATGCTAGCAGAGCTGATTGGAGTTGCAGCAAAGTGGGTGACGTTGTTATCATTTACAACTACATATTATATACATAAAAAATGTGCAGGATTTAAGTTGTACTGGAAGAGAAAAAACAACAACTAGAGACTTACTTAGGATTGTAAAAAATTGAGGACTGGTGATAAATGATTGTCACATGCACATAAATAGTATATTTTGCTAGCTGTTCCCCCATTGATTTAGTTTTATAATGTTGAAGTGACTGTATTTTTAGAGGTTATTTTATCCTTCATATCTGGTAGTAAAAATAAAATCCAATATGTGTATTGTAATATTATAAACAATGTATAAGGTACAACAAATAAATATAGCAAAGTTAGCCCTGAATCCTAGATTCCTTGAATACTTCCTACATTCAAAATGATACTCAAAGCATGCATGTGTTATGAAATTTTAAATCATTACTAATTTATTGTAGAAGATATATTCTTCCCCAAAACAAATTAACGAAAATGCAATTCTTTTTCAATTAAGTTTTACAAAATACCCTGGTAATCCAAGTGATGCTTAACCTTGGGATTTCACTTTTAGGATTTCGTAAAATGACCTTTTACTTTCTTATTAGGATTAGTTTGGTGACAAATTTATATTAAAGTTGTAAGCTGTATGAAACAAAGTATGGAATAATCTCCAATTTTACATATTTGTTGCAAGTTTTCAATGCCATTCTTCTGATGAAGAAAAATGTTCAAATGATCTGAAGAGGAAAACATACGGAGTTAGCCTGTAGGTTTATTTTTCTTAATACTGAATAAGCATTTATATATATACACACAAGTTTTAGCTTAATTATTGCCCATATTCTTAATCACGTGTCTTCAATCCAGTGTGGACTAAACAACTTCCGTAGAAGAGACGTTTGCTTCAAATGTAACACTCCCAGAGAAGGTAGGACTCTGTATCTATAGATTTCATAAATTCTTATAGGAAGTATGAATGAAAGGTTGTAAAATATTTTTTAAAAGGATTCTTATATTTTCATTATCTTACAGGTGGTTTGCTAGATGTGAATAACTAAAACAATGTACTAATGTAACTAGAGAAATGAAACTTTGATAGTTTAATAATGGTGTTACGTACTAGCTACAGTTTTGTAATTCACAAGCAATGGCATCTCTTTTCAGAAGCGGAAGAAATCAGAAGACAAAGTGGAGATGGATTTGAACAGATCAGTTCCACTCCATCAAATGGTGGGTCCTTTTCTTTCGTTTGCACAGTGACTACATTGACCTTAGTTTGTGAGACTTGATGGTTAGTTGCCAATTTAGTCAGAAATACCGATGACTCTTAGAATACAGCAGATATGTGAGGTTTCTTACATGTGTACCTTTGGCTCAGACTAACATAATTACGGTGATTTGGCTAAAGTAGGGATAAAAGTTTATAAATTTTAAGTAACTCAGTTTTTGTAGTTTGACTTTCTTGTTTCAATACTTTTTGTAGCATTAAAACTTTCTATGTTACTATAGCTAGCTGTTACGTACATATTGGTTCCTACTTGTCTTTATAAAATTTAAATATTTTCTATTGTACTTGTGTTTATGGTAAGTGTTGTGTGAATTTATATTCTGTGCTTTCGTGTACCAACAGGAACATATACTCAAGCCAGAAATAACTTTTTTTAAAGAACTATCTACATTTGCTGGATATTATATTTCATGTGTTTTTTAAAAGATTTTTGTAAAAATATGGTTTTGATGATATCATAAGTGAAACTTCCAAAATGTGTACAAGTTGGACTATTTCTGTAAAATAAAATATAACAATCAGATTCCACCACCGTCACTAATGTCTCCATGAACACAAGAGTTATCAGGTTATGAATTAGGCCAGGTTTTTGAAAATGGTAGTTTTCTGCTAACCTGTGAGACTGCTGAAGTGAATGATTGTTGGTAGAAAAATATTTAAAATTATGATTCTATTTTATTTTTTAATCAGATTTTCTGTTATGTTAAAATTTGGGTTCTTGTTTTTTTTTACTTTCTAAAATTATTAATTTTGTTGTACAAAAATGAGGATTTATGTTAACTAGAGTAAAAGTAACATCTGTAAGCATGTAATGCAAGTTACTGTATTTCATATTATTTATGGCACTAGCTTCATACCTTACATATATATTCTTTGTTTAAATCATTTTATATTATTCAAGTCAAATTCTTGTTTTATAATCATACATGTTTCTCAAAATCTACTTTAAGTATTAGCTATGAATTTAATGAAAGCTGTAGTATGGATTGATATAGCACAGTAGTTCCCCCTCTTGAAAGACACCCCCCCTGGGCCAGTGACCACCTAGTTCCCCTCTAAAAAGACACACCCCCTGGCCATTGACTACTTTCCAACCAATATACCCAAGTAAGGATACAGCTGTACTGTTTACTACCCCTGGTTGGCAACCAATGACCAGTTTTATGAATAAAAATTAATGAACTTTTGTCAAATATGAGAGTGCACATGTCAAAATTTCATGTCCATGGCACTTACCTGTCAGTCTTGTTGTCGATTGTCCCGATTGAATACTACTGTTTATCGCATGTGAGTACTTGCATGGCAAAATTTCATGCGCACGTGCATGGTACTTGCCTGTCAGTCATGTTTCTGTCGACTGTCGCAATTGAATACTACAATTGTCATGTCTGTGAAATGGAAGATTTTGGCCCTTGAAGAGAGAGCTGATGAAGGGAAATCTTGCTGTGCAATAGCAGTTGAGGATGGAGTTGGAAGATCACAAGTCCAGAATGTAGTGAAGAATAGAGAAGAAATATTGAAGTGCTCAGACAGAATATACAATAAGCTTAGTACAGCAGGCCTAGATAAGATCTTCTGGGAGTGGTTCACTATAGCCAGAGCAGAGAACATCCCTGTCAGTGGCAGGATGATTCAAGAGAGAGCACTGATGTATACAGTAAATCTTGGTCATTGTGGCTTTAATGGTTCTAATGGATGGCTGGACAGGGTGTAGAAGTGTCAGAATGTGCTCGTTGCTACCCTCTCTGTTGTATGTGATTGGAGTAAATGTCTCAAGTCTATATGCACTGGCTACAGGCTCAAAGACACGTTTAATGCAGTTGAGACTGGTCTATTCTATGCAGCTTTACCCTCGCACTCAGTGGTGGTTAAGTGAGACGAGGTCAAGGGAGGTTAGAAGTCGTAGCACAGGATCATTGTTTTGCTGGAATGTTCTGCAGCTGGAGAAAAGCTGACACCCGTCATAGGGAACAGTGCTAAGCCTCAAGGGCTTAGCTAACCCACTGTACCTCCCTGTGAAAATACACTTCAAATAAAAAGACATGGATGATCAGAGAGTTATTCCAGAAGTGGGGCAATAAGGGCAGTAGCACAATGAGAGCTGAAGATTACTCTATTTATTGTTTGTGGACAATTGTACTGCCCACTCTGATGTTGTCTGTAGCAATTAAAGTTGTTGTTTTTTTCAGCCATGCGATGCTGGAATTATCCAGAATATGTAAATGCCCTACAAGAAGCTGCTTATGCAACATGTTTTGTTTTACATGAGCAACTGACTTAGCTAAGAAGGTAAATGTGTTGGATGCTATCACGTGGTTAAAGAGTGTACAACCTATAGCATTTCAGAAGTGTTTTGCCAAATGTGGTTTTTCAGAGGATCTGCCTGAAGATGGTGAAGAAGACAATCCTGAAGTTGATGACAAATTTATAGCCTTTCTGGAGAATTTTGATGTGACTTGGGAAGACTATGCAAACTTTGATGCTGATGTTGTCACCAACGAAACTATAGAGGCAACTTCTACTCTTTCTTCAGATGAGGAGGAAGAGAATGACAGTGAAGTAACATCATTTGTGTCTATGGGTACAGCTGTGGGACATTTGGAACAATTGAGGGATTTTGCAGTTGCTCATCAAAATCCCTAGTTACTGGAATATGTCAGTAAGAGCAAGGTCTCCATTGAGAAGTCTATGTGCAATTCAAGATAAATCAAGTAGACTAAACTCAAAGATTATTATAATATATGACATTTTGTTTTCTCTCTTATTTTAATATGCATTGTGTACTGTACAGTGTACAGTGTTGTATGGTAAAATATAACAGCTATATGTACATACATTACAACAATTTATGTGCAATACAGAAGCAGTTACTGTACTCGTAACTTCTTCATTCATCTAGCTGTGCCTTTCTAGGAGTAGTCCAATCTTGAAGCTTCACCTTCCCCTTAGAAAGGACCACTATTGATGTGGTGAACCATAGGGTGATTGTTCAGGAGGGGGGACTACAGCGTTTGTGTATTTTTACAATGTACAAGTACTAACAATGTCAGAATATAGATTATGTATTTGTTTGGACAATATTAAGTCTGTTTCAGAAGAGGCTAAATTCAGCCATTTTCATGTTCCCAGCATTATTACTTCGTAATCTGGATACTCTTACGACAGAAGAAAGAGTGCTTTCTGTTTTAGGACAGCTAACTTCTCTGCCAATCAAAAGTATAGGAATTGCAAATGACCCCTTGACCAATACCTCCAGAGGATTTTGTTTTGTGGAGTTACACTCTATATCAGAAGCTTCTCAACTTCATGACCTGCTTTTGTCATTGGATGGTCAGTTTTATATAGATGGCAGACCAGGTGAGTTACAAAGTTTTTTCTTTTAATGTTTTAGTTATTCGTTGAATTACAATATTTATTATTATGGTGAATGTTTGGTATTTTAGTGAATAATTAACGAAATAGATTTTGTTGTAAATGACCAGTTTTGTGTGGATTAGATTGGCAAGTGCTAGTACAAAAGTAGGCTTATCTTGTGTAATCAGTAATATATTAGTTAATAAGTATATTTTCTAACAGAAACTTTATATCTTGTAAAAGTTTTGCTGTTTGTCAATTCATATTTTAAGAACATTTATAAACAATGGAATGTTTTTGTATTTTTCAGTGACAATAACTTATGCCAGGAAGTCAGTAAATGTTATCCATAGGTAAGACTACGGTTTGTTAAATTTATTCATAAGAAAAGTATTTGAGAATGATTTATCTCACATATCTGAATTTAACCCATCCTTTTATTTGATATATTTACTAAAATCTATAGTGAAATTATGGCTTTCTTTGAATGAAATTTTCCGACAGCCACATGGAATGTTGCATTGATATTTTGATCTTTTTTTTTTCCTTTCAATTGTAGATGTGAAATAATTAGCATTAATTGTATTGATTTTGTTTACCTTTTTACTATTAGTGAAAGTGTTATGTGCAAGTTTAATTTTTATGTTTAATTGAGCACGTAAATTAAATTATATTCAAGTATTGCTTGATAATTTATGTATGTATTTTGATAGTGCTGCCAGTGCCAATGCTGCTAGTGTGGCTTTAGCAGCTGCTCAGTGGACGAATCAGGTATGACTAATGTAAATATCTAGATGTTACTGGAAACATTCTGAACAAAACCATTACATTTGGAGAGATGTAGTAGTTGTATGTTAAAGCTTGGGAAGGTCATCTGATTATGGTATTATGATTTTTATGCTATATTTATGAAAGTTTTATTTGTTTTTTTTACGTCTAATGCAGTCTCTAGCTCACCATTAACTGTTTAACACGAGTTAGACACAGTTGCTTCACAGAAAAATGTTAAAAAATGAATAATAAAAGAACCACTTCTGACCTCTTAATTTCCGTGGTCTTGAGTTTGTTAGTTTTAAGACTTTACAATCAACAAGATATTTAGTTTTGCATATTTTTTCACAGAAAGTTTGTGTTAAAACTAAATGCAGTTTGAAATGAATGTTCAAAGATTTTAAATAAAATATCATAGCCTTGATGGTGTATTTTGTTATAACGTTCAGCTTCATTTTAACGTTTTAGGTTGAACCGGGATCACTGCCTGTAAATAAGAACGAACAATATCAGCAAGGATACGATCAGTATCAGGTATGAAAACATAATTGTATTGTCAGTGGTTATACTAAGGAGAGAGTTATATATATATAATGTCTAAATTCATTATAGAGCCATATATTTTAAAGCTGAATGGCAATGGCTCGCTTAATTATTTAGGAAGATAATTTAATTCAGATTTGACTTCATAATGTGAAGTTTAATAAAATTTAATGTTTGTTTTGAAGAATTTGATTACTGTTTAGTTGTTTCATAATTTAAAAGTATTTCTTTCTTTTTCTTGGTTTGGTATATGCCTGGCCGAGTAGAAATTTCTTAACGGCAGTTGTGAACTTTATTTGTTTTCAAATATTTAAC